TTCAAATCAACCTGACAGAAGCGTGAAGGAGGGATGCATCTAATGTTGCTGTTTGTTGCATTCAGGGTGGAAATAGACACCTTGTATTTATGAAAGAGAAAGGGAGAAAAGCTGGGGTGATGGTGGCAAAAGAAAATCATTTTTGTTTGACTCAACTTCCTCTTTTGAAGAAATGTGACTGTAGAGTGGAGGGAAGACGGTTGTGTGTCACTTCCCGTTTAAACCTGAGGAAACTCCATCTTGCAAATGTCTGAATAAGCTTCGACCTTTGACCCTGAGGTGTTCACACTGGTGGCCCCTCCTCTGCACTTCAGACGCTCCAGCAGCAACACAACAAACCTGCAGAACAGGCATCTTTCTGTGGGTTGTAAATCTTTCCTGTGGGTGTGTGAGTGGGTGGGGACTTAGGGTGTTTAACATGTAGCTGATTGGTCTAAACCTTAAAAATAAAGGCGGGTCCTGTGATGTGATTGGCTTAAAGACTTGTCAGTTCAATGTGACAGTGCTGCTTTCACGAGCCTTGTGGATTTTTTTTTCCTTGTTGTAAAAGACTTGTTAAGACTGCCAGGTTCCAGTTCCCTCTTCTTGGACAGTTCCACCTTATCTTCTGAGTCCCTCCTGTGCTGTACTACACTTCTGCCCCACGGACAGCAGCCGGCTGCCCCTCCTTCCTAGCAGCCTCAAACCACCCCAGCTGTGACCTATTTGCTGATGACAGGAACCAGGATAAAAAGCTGCTGCTGCCAATGTTTCAGGGTCAACAGATCTGGTTTGTGTTTGTCCCCTTGAGCGTTTGATGGTGTGCCTTCAGAAAGAGACAACCTGAGAGTAATTGATAATAGAGATTGGTTCTGTTTTAGAAAGAAGTATGTTTAGTTTAGTTGATTTCAGCTGGGATTCAGGGAGTATGGAGACTTAAATTGATGGTTTTGTTTGGTAATTGTTTTTGTGTTGCAGTCACCTTTAGCAAATGGTTGTTTGGACTGTCTCCTTAAATTGGTTTTCCTGGTAATACATTTACTCAATGAAGAGCGCTTTTCAGTTATTCATCGCTCATCTTGTTGTTTACATGTTGGCAATTTATTAGATCTAAACCCTGTCATTGTAATAAAACACATTTTATTCATAACTTACAGCTCCATGCCAGTGTCTTATGTCAACCCCACCCCCACCCCCCTCACAGTCACCATCTACAGAGGTTGTAACCAGAGCTGTGAATCGTGATAAAACGGTCTCTCAAAAATGACAGACCGTCAGATGTGTAGATCGTAAAACGGTCTAAAATCGTCATATCGCCCAGCCCTAGTTGTAACAGACGTCGTCGTCGTCGTCGTCGTCTTCCTCCGCTTATCCGGGTCCGGGTCGCGGGGGCAGCATCCCAACTAGGGAGCTCCAGGCCGTCCTCTCCCCGGCCTTGTCCACTAGCTCCTCCGGCAGGACCCCAAGGCGTTCCCGGACCAGATTGGAGATGTAACCTCTCCAACGTGTCCTGGGTCGACCCGGGGGCCTTCTGCAGGCAGGACATGCCCAAAACACCTCCCCGGGGAGGCGTCCAGGAGGCATCCTGACCAGATGCCCAAACCACCTCAACTGGCTCCTTTCGATCCGGAGGAGCAGCGGTTCTACTCCGAGTCTCTCCCGAATGTCCGAGCTCCTCACCCTATCTCTAAGGCTGAGCCCGGCCACCCTACGGAGGAAACTCATTTCGGCCGCTTGTATCCGCGATCTCGTTCTTTCGGTCATTACCCAAAGCTCATGACCATAGGTGAGGATTGGGACGTAGATCGACCGGTAAATCGAGAGCCTGGCTTTCTGGCTCAGCTCCCTCTTCCCCATGACAGATCGGCTCAGCGTCCGCATCACTGCAGATGCTGAACCAATCCGCCTGTCGATCTCCCGATCCCTGCTACCCTCACTCGTGAACAAGACCCCGAGATACTTAAACTCCTCCACTTGAGGTAGGACCTCTCCCCCGACCCGGAGGTGGCAAGCCACCCTTTTCCGGTCGAGAACCATGGTCTCAGATTTGGAGGTGCTGATCCTCATCCCAGCCGCTTCACATTCGGCCGCGAACCTACCCAGCAAGAGCTGAAGGTCAGAGCTGGATGAAGCTAGGAGGACCACATCATCCGCAAAAAGCAGAGACGAGATTCTCCTGCCACCAAACTCGACACACTCCACACCACGGCTGCGTCTAGAAATTCTGTCCATAAAAGTGATGAACAGAACCGGTGACAAAGGGCAGCCCTGGCGGAGTCCAACCCTCACTGGGAACAGGTCCGACTTACTACCGGCTATGCGGACCAAACTCACGCTTCTCTGGTAAAGGGACTGAATGGCCCTTAACAGAAAGCCACCCACCCCATACTCCTGGAGCGTCCCCCACAGGGTGCCCCTGGGGGCACGGTCATAAGCCTTCTCCAAATCCACAAAGCACATGTGGATTGGTTGGGCAAACTCCCATGCCCCCTCCATCACCCTTGCAAGGGTATAGAGCTGGTCCACAGTTCCACGGCCAGGACGAAAACCACATTGCTCCTCCTCTATCTGAGATTCAACTATCGATCGGACCCTCCTCTCCAGTACCTTGGCGTAGACCTTTCCAGGGAGGCTGAGGAGTGTGATCCCCCTATAGTTGGAACACACCCTCAGGTCACCCTTCTTAAAGATGGGGACCACCACCCCGGTCTGCCACTCCCTAGGAATTGCCCCCGATGACCACGCAATGTTGTAGAGACGTGTCAGCCATGACAGCCCTACAACATCCATAGCCTTGAGATACCCAGGACGAACCTCATCCACCCCCGGGGCTCCGCCGCTGTGTAGTTGTTTGACTACCTCAGCAACTTCTGCCCCCGAGATCGGACAGTCCATCCCCAGGCCTCCCAGCTCTGGTTCCTCCTCGGAATGCGCATAGGTGGGATTGAGGAGCTCCTCAAAGTATTCCTTCCACCGTCCGACTATAGCCTCAGTTGACGTCAGCAGCTCCCCATCCCCACTGTAAACAGTGTGAGCGAGTTGCTGCCTTCCTCTCCTGAGGCGCCGGACAGTTTGCCAGAACCTCTTTGGAGCCGATCGATAGTCTTTCTCCATGGCCTCACCAAACTCCTCCCACGCCCGAGATTTTGCCTCGGCAACTGCCACTGCTGCACCCCGCTTGGCTATCCGGTACCTGTCTGCTGCCTCCGGAGACCCACAGACCAGCCACGCCCTGTAGGCCTCCTTCTTCAGCCTGACGGCTCCCCGAACCTCTGGTGTCCACCAGCGGGTACAGGGGTTGCCACCACGACTGGCACCGGCCACCTTACGACCACAGCAACAGCCGCCTCGACAATCGCAGAGTGGAACAAGGCCCACTCGGACTCAATGTCCCCCACTGCTCTCGGGACGTGGTCAAAGCTCTGCCGGAGGTGGGAGTTGAAGACCGTCTTGACAGGTTCTTCTGCCAGGCGTTCCCAGCAGACCCTCACTATGCGTTTGGGTCTGCCAGGTCTACGCGGCATGTTCCCTTGCCATCTGATCCAACTCACCACCAGGTGGTGATCAGTTGACAGCTCCCTCTTCACTCGGGTGTCCAAAACATACGGCCGCAATTCAGATGATACGACTACAAAATCTATCATCGACCTGTGACCTAGGCTGCCCTGGTACCAAGTGTACCGGTGGGCATCCTTATGTAACAGACTGTTTTGTAAAAACTTTGTTGTGTATTGTGAAATGTACATTTTCTCAACCAGTCTTAAACAATTGTACAAACTGTTTTTGCTTAATATTTTTCAACTAGTGAAGCATTTTCGATGTTATCAATTCTTCAAAGTTCTAATTTAGCCATTTTCTTCTGTAGCCTACATCAACATCTAAAAATGAAATTAATGGTATTGGAAAGATGTAGTAGATAGATACGTGTGTATCAACCCCAAATAAGAAAAAAAAGTTAATTATTACTTTAATTTAGATCAGAACTTGAAGCAACATTTATTTTCATCTGCATTTGTTAACCATTCAAACTAAAAAGGTTAAACAGTCCGTAGACATACTTTAAAAAAATGTTTAAATGATAGGTTTTACACATGTTTTTAAATCGCATAACCAAGAAAAATACTTTAGCACACAGTAGTTTGGGAAAATTAGCAAATGTTGGATTTTTAAAACAGTGTTTCACAAAATTTGACAATTAGCCAAGTTTTATATAATTTGAAAATTTAAAAGTTGTTAGAGAAAAGAACCCAAGCCTGATGTTCACGAGAATTATGAGGTGCAATTTGTAAATTCAAACAGTCATAACCTAACAGCAATATTTTGGATTATCTAGCCTATCATAAGAGAAAAAAAGGGAGTTTATTTTCCAAAGTCGTATTTTCACTATTTTATTCATACATTTATAAATGTTAAAGAACCCAAACATTTAGTTGGCAAGCTAACTAATTAATTTGGAGTTAAATAATTATTTTCTAAACTAAATATTTAGGTTGATCCAAAATATTTAGTTTGTAAAAAAATAAATAATTGTAATTTACTAAATATTTCATTTGGAGCTAAATATTTACCTCATCATCCAAATTAAATATTCATTTTCCAAAATAAATATTTAGATCCCAGCTAAATATTTATTTTAGGGCAATACCTAAATATTGAATTTGCAAAGTAATTGTTTAGCTGAAAACAGATATTTAGCTGGGATATAAATATTTATTTTGGAAAATAAGTATTTCAATTAGAGCTAAATATTTAGTTTACAAACAAAATATTTAGCTCCAAATTAAATATTTAGCTTGCCAACTAAATATTTAGTTGTGAACTTTAACAATTATAAATGTATAAAAAACATGGTAAAAATCTGATTTTGAAAAATGCCCTCCCATTTATTTCTCTTATGATGTGCGGAACAACCCAAATGCTGTTTTTTAAAGTGTGACGCTTTGACTTTACAACTGGCACCCTATTCAAGCACAAAGACCTGGGATTTCCGACAGCTCCTGAAGGCAGCATCACCCCCTCCAGTCTGGTCTGCACGCGCTTAGCGCTCAGTCAGCGTCGCTCAGAGAAGCTCTGTGGTTGCTGGGGTTCGCACACACCATATGCCTCGCTCGCACGCATTCAAACAGGATGTAACGACTGAAACAGACCTCGGGAGGAAGACAAAAGAAAGAGAGCAACGGGCAGGCTAAAGTTTACGATGTGACAAGCAGCAATCAGAGAGAAATGACCGCTTCAGCAGCAGCCGCGGAGGAGAGGAACAAGACGGCAGGAGTCCGGATGAGGCACCACACCACCGGCACGTCCTGACGGCTGCTCCCGCTGCCCAGAGACACCCAAACCGCCGCTGCAGCGAACGGTTTCAGCACTGGAAACAGATCATAGAACCGAAACAACCTTGAGGTCGACCATGGCGAGCCAGGGAGACTGCTGTGTGAAGGTTGCTTTGAGGTAAGCCTCCAACGTCTGTCTGCTGAAAATCAGCCGTTCTTTGCAGACCACATTGTGTCTGTGCCTCCAGGCGATCAGTTAAAATCTCCCTGTAGCATCACTAAACTGATTTTATTATTGCTCATAACACTTCTTAATGCGCATTGCATGAGGGCGGAGGTAATATGATCCAGTGTTGTTTTACAACATATGGGCGGTGCTCTGCACTTTATTGATAAGGCGGTCTGTGCCATGCGATCTCCATGTGACTGATCCCAGGTCTGCTTAGAGCAGCAGGTCGCATTCAGGAGGGGAAGTGACAAGGACAGCTGCAGCCAGGTGCAGGGAGGAGAATGGGCGTTTCTCCTAGCCTTTGTATAAATATGCATTTTCTCCTCATTCTACAGACAACTGAACTTCAGTTTTTAATGAATGAGTTCCATTTTGGGAAATAATTGATCTATTTTTATTCCTAAATGAAAAGAACACAAAGACATGCTCTCCTTCAGATCTGTGCCACCCTGCTCGTGTGTGTGTCTCGGAAATGCATCCAAAAGCTCTGCCAGCACAGCTGCTTTTGAATTGCTGTGCAGATATTAGCAGCTCTTTAGATGTGTGAGCTAAAAATAATTGCAATTCAAATACAGCATGTAAATCTGCCTTCATGTGCTGGCACCTGCCGGGTGTTTGCATCTCAAACTGGCATGCAGGAGATGAGTGAATTGGATTCTTAAGCAGCGACAGACTCTTTCTCAATTCAGCCTAAGGACTTAACTAGTTTGTCTTTTGAGGATATGTTGGCATATATTTGTAGTTTTTAGAGCATTTGGAAGAAATTATACATGGGTTGATTCTACAAATTTGAACCAACTTGAACATTTTGAAACCTTAAGACATCTTTGAGGTTCATTGATTGAAGCAGGCAGGGTGAGGGGATGAGAATGGGGGTTGATCCTGTAGATGAGACCTAAAACTGGTGGCTCCATGTCCCCAGGGGACGTTTCAGTATTTAGTGAGTGACTCTCCTTTGTGCTTGTTCACACTGCTAACTGAAACAGGAAGTTGAGTAGGCGTTGCTGTCAGAAAAAGGTGAAAAGAGACACTGTGGCAAACAATTTAGACAGTTATTTGATATCCGATTCCTTGGTACAGACCATCACTTTTCTAAACTATTGCTACTTCTCTGCTTGACATATAGTGAAACACACTTGAATAATGAGTTTTGTTACCAACTAAATGGTAAATGGCCTCTTATTTGTATAGTGGGAGAGTTTAAAATAAACCAAAAAACCTAACTAATCTTTTTAATGACCTCATTAGACTAAACTAATATTTCCCTGTGCCTAGTTAACCAGTGAGCTTAAAAAACTTTAGTAGTCAACATGAATGTAAACCAGTAACACCCCAAATTCTCACTAGTTGATTAGTTAGAGCCACTTCGATGTTACTAGTTGACTGTGATGTTTTTGGCCCAAAATATTCACCAGTGAGGTTGGTTCTGACAGTACTACTAAACTAATTGGGCCACATGTTAAGCAGTGGGTCTAAAGTGATTAGTAGTAAACCAGGAAGGCCAACATTAATACTGTATTTGGAAACAAAAGTGTTACCAAATGTTTCAAGCAGTGGAGATAAGTCGCAAATGGGAAGAAAATGACTTTTGATGACAGATTTTACACAAATGATTAAAAACTGGCCGTGTTACAGCTGCATCAGTGATGTTTTTTGGATCACACCCCGTTACCATTAAAAGACATAACAACATACAAGAAGGTAGGCATTTGGGAAAATATTGATACATGGAAATATTGCAATATTCCATAAAATATAATGAACCCATATTTAAAAGCTGTGTATCCATTTTTTCATTGAGCGTTTACATGCAAACGTTTACTGTCTTTTTTCTGTACGGTGTAATTCAAACTCCGACTGCTAGGTGGCAGCAGTTTTCACCATCTTCATTCTGATGGAACAACATGATCTCACGATGACACCGGATGTGTCTAGCCCCGACTTCACACCGGAGGCATCGGTGGCACGGAATGGCAGCGGAACGGTTCAGTTCAGTTATTTATACATTATGAGAAGACCAAGGTGCTGAACACAACCACAAAGCACACAATAAGAACAAATATAGTGTTGTGGATCATTAAAAGAAAGCTAAAAAAAATATAAACAATCATGAAAATATTGAGAGAACGTTTATTTGAAAACATGTGAAACGAGATGAAAAACAAGAAAAAATCAAGGCAGTGTTGTGATCTCAAATGCAGAAATGCCATCACATAAAAATTGGTCTACTTGGTTCATTCGCTGCGTGCCAGTACACACACACCGGGAGAATCTCCGCCGCAGAGCTGCTTTCCTACCGTGCTCCTCGCTAGATCACAAAATCCCTCAAGACTTCAAAGGTTTGTTTATGCCTCTGGTTTTCATTTAGTGGGGGCGCCCGCTGATCACCGGTGGATTGATCCTAAAAAGGGTTTGATCCAAAAAATCACCCGAGGTTTCACACTGAAACCATATGTGATTTTCTGTCTAGCCCTTTGTTAAATGTGGAAATTGCCGTGTCCCAGAAGCTGCTTACTGCAAAAATACAAACCCGATCCTATGTCTAGCCCTGGCGGCACGATGAGCTGCTACTGGGACGCGCATGAACATTTCCGTGTCGCGGCTGGTGTGAATCACCCCCCCGGACTAGAACGGATCCTATTTGATGCTGTGCCGCTGATGCTTCCAGTGTGAAGCGATTAGAAGTGTTTGGCCTGAGTTTTAAAATTAAATTCAGTTTTAAAGGGGCATTATGGAAGTTTGACAGCCAAAACATGTATAGAAATAATAAATTTGTTCTTCATACATTCTCCTGCAATGCCCTGGTCCTGTAGAATGAGCCCTGGCATTTTTACTGTGATTGCCTGTTTTTCTGTAAAAGCACAGAAAAAGAGAACTGCTCGGGTCGAGCAGGCTGCTTCATGCGCGTTCACGCTCAGGCATAGCCCGTAGCATTTGCTATCAGTAGCTTTAGCAGCAGAGAGTGAGGTAGTGCCAACTCAGCGACTTTGTCGCTGTTCCTAACGCCTAGTGATGAACCTAGCTACATTTCTGAGGACCCTTAGCTACTTTCTTCTAGATATTTCCTGGAAATTAGCAACAAAATAGCCATTTTTGCTCCGAACCGTTCTTTGAACATTGTTTCAGCTGTCATCAAAGATATAAAACTTACAGATATTCAAGATGTCATTGGTGCTATAGCTCACCTAGTAAGACGTTGGACTCTCGTGCAGAAGACCCGGGTTTGATTCTGGATGTGAACATAGTTTATTTAGAGTTTATTTTTTACATTATTGGTATATTTTTTTACAGTAAGATGCCCAAATTTTTGTTTGAGACTTGCCGAACGGCATTGAATTCACAGATAAAAAGATGTGGGTTCAACTTTCATTTTGGAACAAATTTTCAAGCAAGGGAAGGGAATGATCTGAGCATGCAGGAAGACTGACCCATCTTAAACCTTTGTCGGCTGTGCTGAAGAGAAAGGTACAGAACCAAATTATTTAATTAATTAGCTGCGCGTTCTCCTGTCCTCTGTCCTCCGGGCACACACACACACGCACACGCACACGCACACACACGCACACACACACACACACACACACACACACACACACACACACACACACACACACACACACACACACACACACACACACACACACACACACACACACACACACACACACACACACAGAGACAGAACTGTCTCAGCTGTTATTTTCGTTAAGGAGTGTGCACGTATATCATGTGCGCCTCGTGCACAAGCCTACTATTGAAGCTGCCGTTACGCCTTTGGCCTGAGGGGGCAATCGCGAGCATAAAAATTCAAAACTCTGTAAAGTCCCTTTAAAAATTGCAAATGCCGTCTGGCTCTTAATGTCACAATATATCGTTTTGTCTCTCTTGTGTTGCGATATATATCTTATCACCAGATTCTTGCTAATACTCACCCCTGCAGGAAGATACTGAGGAAATTAAAACCAAAACAAATGAGTAAAAGGGCCCCCTACTGGCTAGGTTCAGTATGTGTTCTAAGCCACGCCCCCTTAACCCTCTGATGCATGAATTATGAAATCTTCAACCATGATTTTTTAAACAATTTTTTTCATTCATCTTTAGGTGTGAATGAAACAAATTTCAACAAATATTTTTGTAACATTTTGTTAATTTACAAATAATTTATTACATGTCCATCTCAGTGGACAGCGTGCATTCTGAACATGAAATATGTTGGCTTGACTTACTGAAGTCCAAATGGAGGGGCTCACATGCAATAAAGTCTTCAACAACTGTGCTTAATAGCAAAAATAAAGAAATAACAATTTTGAGTACCTGTCCACTGTAGTGACCATTATGCATCAAAGGGTTAAAATAAACAAATGGGGCTTTTTTTGTGACGAAAAAAAAGCTTCAGATTATTTTTTCCTGATAATTGTACCCTACACGTGCGTCTCTGTATTTGTTTTGTTGTTGATCAACAAAATTCCAAAAAGGGTAAATTTGGCTTAACTCTTTATAATCTGTATAATTAAAGCAGTTTAATTAGTGTGATTTTCAACAAAGTTTTCGTAATTACGTGACACGGCCCCTGCGTAAATCTTGCTCTGCTCCTTTTCATCGTGTCTGACCTATATTTACATCCCTTGTGAGTGCCACAGAAGTGTCTGCATTTTACAGGAAATGGGAAACAGGCAAATAAACACATGGAGAGGGATAACTTCCTGTCGCGTAAGCAGCAGTCTTCCCCCTGAACAACCGTCTCAGCTTCTTTCCCTTTTCCCAGAAAAAGTCGCCCCTCTAACAAGACGAGATGGTGTTAAATTGTTCCCATGTTGTGTTGCCCACAGGCAGAATACGCACACCATAGTACTTTGAGCCTGTGCATGTGTGAGTGTGCATTAGGAGGCCATCTAGGTTGAACCAGCATGTTGACTAAAGTCTCCACTGTCTGCTCTGCCTATACCATA